AGAGATCAGTGTGTGAAGAAGGAAAGGGAAAGTGTGCTGCATCATGTTGGTTCAGCTGCAGTCTGAAAAAGTATACGGAGGACATCCTCGATAAGATTAAGTTCCTTGGTCTTTGTGAAATGAAGCTAAAGTTTCTTACTACTCCTAACTCTTGCTGGTTTCAAAATGGGGCATTGTTTCTTAAGACACAGTTTCAGGATTGCTTCCAACTCAACATTTGCTTCTGTTCCAGAACATTTGTAAATATTCACTTTGGTGGTGAGTGTGGGGGTAACCTTGGTAGTATGAGAACCACATTCACATTTGTGATTTTATACTCCTTAATGAAACCTTTTGCATTAGTACATATTAGGCAAGCCAAAGGCTGAATCACAGTGGTTAGTGCTTGTGGGCTTTTAGCTTACAACAGTCTTTTTGAGAGCCTACTATACCCTTGTAAATATTTTTCTGTGAAGTGGCAGCTTAAAGTGGTTTTATGTGTAATGTTCCCCCTCTAGTGGCCAGATCGGGTGATTTTTTTTCCTTCTGTTTTTGTTATCAATGATCTCTGAAGTTGGAGAACCTTTTATTTAGGGTTGCTATGGATGTGGGAAGACTAGGAGGAGAAGGTTAAAAGGAGACACAAAACTTTAGTTCATAGGCTAAACAGTGTTCTAAAGCATTTGTTCCAACTACCATAGTTTTTAAAGAGGAGACACAAAATGTGACCCACAGAGGAGAAGAGAGCCTTGCAGTGATTTCTCATCTTTTCACTCTGATTATTTTGTCTACTATCTTTCTTAAGAAAATATTATTCCTGGGGCTGGGTCTTGGCTTAAATGCTAGAGCTTGCCTAGCAAGCGTGAGGCCCCTAGTTCAGCCCCCAGTACTGTCCTCCCCCAAAGAACATCTTATGTCTAATCATTTATCAATTTTTTAAAGAAAACTCTGTATTATTATTTTCAATGATCAAAGCAATAAAATACATAGTGTAAAACTAGAAACTAAGGAAAACATAAACAAAGGCTAAGGCAGGAGGGTCTTGAGTTTGAGGCCAGGCTTAGCCACTTAGCCCCCTGGGCAACGTAGCAAGAGCTTGTCTCATAAAATAAAAACAAAAAACACCCCTTCCAAAGAAAAAAAAGAGAAAAAATAAGCAAAATATGCTTGGAATCTGTTATTCTGTGAGTTTTACTCTTCTCTCAAAGCTGTGGCAGTAGGTAACTACTATCAACAGTCTACTTTTCCAAACTTTTTTCTAATCATTACAAATATATTTAATACATGTGTATATTGACATATAGTGAACATGATTTGTAAACATACATAGTACATATAATTTAAATTTGGTTTTTATAAACCAAAATGGAGTTGGGCTGGATATAGCTCAGTGTTAGAGCACCTGTGTTACCATGTGTGCTGTCCTAGGTTCCTTCCAGAACACCCTCCAAAAAATGGGAAATCATAATATAAGTAATATATTTTATATGTCTCATGAAAGTACTATATAATACTATAGGTATTACTCTTTTTAAAATAGCTTAATCAATTTTCTTAAGCATTCCCCCATCAATGAATATTTGGGTTATTTGTAGTTTTTATTTATTTATTGTTTTATTATTCATATGTGCATACAAGGCTTGGGTCATTTTTTCCCCCTGCCCCCACCCCCTCCCTTACCACCCACTCCGCCCCCTCCCTCTCCCCGCCACCCCCTCAGTACCCAGCAGAAACTATTTTGCCCTTATCTCTAATTTTGTTGAAGAGAGAGTATAAGCAATAATAGGAAGGATATTTTTAGTTTTCTTTGTTAAAAATATTTCAGTCAATCTATTTGTACCTATGCATAAGTTTGGCAACTTGTGCAGATACTGCTGTAGGGAAAATTCCTGGGAGTCTAACTGCTATCTCAAAGCACAGGGTTATTTTAAATGGTGATAGATACTGACAGCCTCTTGTAAAGATGTATCAGTTAACATTCCTACATACAGGGAATCTGTGGTTTTTCAAGGGTTATTTATCATAAAATGAATCTGAGAACAGACAAAGTAGCTCTGCATAGGGCAAGTTCTTTTGCAGGGTTCAGAAATAGTTGTCATGGGGGATGAATGAAATCAAACTGAGTTCTTCATCTGGCCCAGTGCTAGAACATTCTCTGTTTTCTGTGGCTGAAATACAACCCTGGGGTATGCAACTCTATTCAGTGCTGGTTGCAAAAGTGATTCACAGTTAATGAAATCAGCCTTCAGGAGTAAATTGTTTCCACTCTCCTCTCTGCCCACAATCTACACTGACTCCTAACTGCCTGCATTTACCATGTTATTTCTTTCCCTGTGGTTTGGTTGTCTGGAGCCCCTTGCTGTGTTAATAATTCTGACCTTTCCTACATCTGGCTTGGTTGGTGCTGGTTCTGACCTTATGTATCCCTCATAATTAAAAAAAAAAACCAAAAAACGAAAAACTAGTCTGAAAACCAGGGACTTGACATGTGATCTAGTCTCATCAGCATATCCTGAATCTGTCCCATAGTCCTCAGAGCTAGCTGGTCCCCAGACTAGGCATGACTTACTGCGTTAGAAATACTTGGGGAGACTGTTGAAAATGTGTTTGTCTGGGCTCTTCCTCAAGAAGACTGAGTTGGTTGAACTAAAATGAGGCCTGGGATTATAAAGTTTCACCTTCTGAGCTATGGGGCCTCTTGTTCCTCGGGAGCTTTAGTTGCATGGTCTGTAAAATGAGGGCTTGAATTACATGGAATTCTTCTGTAGGGGAAAGGAGAGTAGGAGGATTGTCAGGAAAATCATGACAGGAGAATTTAGATTAGGGGAGTCACTCCTAAGAGTCTCTGCTGTGTTCATCTTGGTGACCCTGATCCTGGGAACTGCCTTGAGTTCTATTTCTTGATTCCCTTCTGAATGACAGATAGGAATTTTCACCACCCTTGGCCCAGATCTGTTGTAGATACCTCAGTTCACTTCGTTAAGGATCCTCCATTCTGGAATTCTCTGAAGAGAGTCAGGTGAAGTAAGCACAAAGGTAAAGCCAGCCATATGAAAGTAAGGAGTGATCTTAAGCCTCATAGTGCTTTTTAAAATGATGTCAGAAAGCTTTATCATAGTGTTGAAGCATCTTGCAGTAACAGGTATGCAGTAGGTATTTAGTAAATGTTGGTTGAATAACCTGCGCTTTTGATATTTGTTGGGATTGAGGATATAGTTAGTCTGCTAGCAACTTCTTGATGCTGTGTGGCCTGGAGGTCACACTTAGCATGTGCTTTCTTTGTTGGAAACTGTGGGTTTTGCAACATGAACTTGGTACTTTGGAACCTTTATGTCCCATATCTCTTCAAGACTTAGAATCAAATTGGCTTTGTGATGAGAGATAAATGCTACTTTCTGGCTCATATGTCCACAGAATGACATTATTTATAAATGCATAAACTGAAACTGGAATTGAAATATTCCAAATGAATTTCTTCTTAAAGAGTATTAATATATATATTATAATATATTTTGTGGCAGTGTCTAAGGAAGGGAGGCAAGAAGTTTAACAAGCACAAAAGTATAAATGTTTTAATGAAGAGATAGTTTTTAAAATGGAAATAAAAAATTTAAATGGGGAGCAATTCCATTTGATCACTGGTCAGTAGCAAATGACTAATGAATTTTTTACATAACTTAATCCATTGTTTTGAGACAGGGTCTTACTATGTAGTCAGGCCTCAATCCTTCTTCTTGGCCTCTTGAGTGCTGGGATTACAAGTGTGTACCACTATACCTGGTTCAATTCAGTCCATTTCAAATGATGGGTGGCAAAAAAATCTCCCTTGCTTGTTACCTTACAAGTCTACTAAGATTCGGAAATTTTTGAAAACCTATTTCTAACTGATATAATAGTATTGTGTTCTGAAAACAGAACCCAGTATTATATTCATTTGACAGATTAAATAAAAGATACATATATTCACTCATTCACATTGGAACTATAGAAAGACTCCTAAACCTTTTAAGTTTAAAGCCTAGGGTTCTACACTCCTTTCAAAATAGCAAAATTCCCTTAATGTCCCAGGGGTATCATTATTTCAAGCACCTCTACTTCTTGCTAGAAGGTGTGCTTGAATCAGATCGTGGTGTTTATTACTCTGTTTGATCATACTCCCCATTATGTCACCTTTCCTGTTTTCCTCCTTTTTTATGTTATCATAATGGGTAGAGTTTGTGTCTGAGGAGAACAAATTTAGCAAGGTGCTGATGTACTTTCTGGCAATAATGCCAGCTCATGTGATGTTCTTTGTCACTTTTCTTTTGGGTACTGCCAGTTCAGAACAAGATGTTCTCTTAGGAAAATTTAAATCAGTTTTTGATGGTCAAATATTCAGAGAATTATTCTCTGAAGATAAAAACTGCAGCACATCCATCTTCTTACACTAGGAATATTATGTGGAGTAAAAATCAATGTTTGTGTAGAAAAGGAAGAAAAGAAGAAAAATGAAATAATTAAGAAGTTTTTTTTTTTTGGGGAGCACACCCGGGTATGAACTCAGGGCCTTGCGCTTGAATCTAGGCAGACACTCTTACTACTTGAACCATTGCACCAACTCAGGGAATTTTTTTTTTTTAAAGCATTTGAAACTTGACTTTTGAGAATAAAAAACCAAAAGAGTTGCACTAACTCTGTATCTGAGGGTCTTATGTCCTGCCAGCCATTTATCTTCAAGCGTTTGGATAATGGCACTTCAAACACGCCCCCCCCCAAGCAGAAATTCAACTTGCATAATCTCTCACCCCTGACATCTAGTTCATCTCTTGGTCCTGTCACTGTTGTCACCTAAATACTGAGATGTCTACTTCTCCCCATCTTCACTAGTTCAAATTACTTTTTACTAACTCTCCCCTGGTCCACTGTAAACATTACTGGCATCTTTGGCAACTTCCTTCTGCTCACCAATGCAAGTCAGCACTCACTGCCCCCACTGTGTTCCTTTTGAAATATAAAGATGAGCATGCTGTCATTCCACTCAGGTTCCATCAGTGGCTTTCCATGCACTTTCATGAGGAGCAGTAGCCATACCGTGGTCTGTAGAGGTCCGCGTTCTTCAGGGGATACAGCTCAGAGAAAGCTGATGCATACAGACACAGCACAAGGCAGCAAGTGGTAAGTGCGGTATGAACGGTCAGAAATCATACACGTTGCTAGGTGCAGTGACTCGTGACTATAATCCCGGGCACACTGGCTCATGCCAGTAATTCTAGCTACACAGGAGGAGATCAGGAGGATCACAGTTTGAGGCCACCTTGGGCAAAAGTTAGGAAGACCCTATCTCAACCAGTAAACAAAGGTAGGCATGGTGGTTTGCATCTGTCATCCCAGCTACACAAGAAGTGTAAATAGGAACAGCATGGTCCAGGTCATCGAGCCATAAATTTGAGGACCCTATTCGAAAAATAGCTGACGCAAAAAGGGCTGGGTGTGGCTCAAGTGGTGAAGCACTTGCCTAGTAAGCAAGCGCAAGGCCCTGAATCCAACCCCCACTACCATGAAAATAAATAAGAGAATGAATAAGTAAATAAATAGGTAAGTAAAATAACTTTACACACATTTTGTGGCTTCAGTGTGGTTCTCCAAGTGCAGTTACCAGCTCAGCAGATTCAGCATCACCTGAGAACTTGTTAGAGATGCAAATTCTCAGGCTTCTCCCTGGAACTACTGAATCAAAAATCCTGGGGTTGAGGCCGAGCAATCTGTGTCTTTATGAGCCTTCTGTGTGACTTGGATGGGTTTGAAAATTTGAGAAAATGGGTGTAGTGGATGTTGTGTGCTCTACTTAGAGCCCCCTGAAGACAGAAAGATTTTATTCTTCTAATTGTATAGAGTGTTATCAGCCCTCACACCAACATCTCTTTCTAGGGACAGTCTACATCCAGTGGCTGGTTGATGCAAGAATATGAAGGTCCCTGGATGGCTACAATGTGGATCAACCTTGAAAGGTCACCTCAGCTTCAGAGCTCCTTGTGGGTTGGCTGAGGATCCGTTGAGATTTCATGGCAACCCAACTTTACCTTTGCCCAGTCTTGCTCCTTTCTTTCCATTCCACTGATGTTCATCATAGCACACTGTACTGCTCTTCTTGTGTTCCAGTCTTCTCGGAGTTGGCCTCCTAGAGAACCCAATCACAGAACTTCACAGAGGAAATGAGATTTGAATTGAGAGTAAAGAGAAATTGAAAAGGAGTCAATAAGCAGCAAAAAGAAGAGTAGAGGGATTGAAGATGGGAGTGTCCCAAGGGAGGAAATACATCATGCATGAAACTTCCCCTAATGTTTGTTTAGGACTGGGAGAGCTACTCAGAAGGGCTACATTATAAAATGAGACAGGAGGGGGATGTTTTTGAAAAGGTAGACTGTGGACATTTAGGGACCTTAGTAAGGAATTTGGTCTTTATCCTAAAGATAATGGCAGGCTTATCACACTCACCTTTAATAGTTTGTTCACTCAACAGTATCCATGAAGTGCTGGAGAGATTCCAGAGCAAAACCAGACCTGGTCCCAGACCTCAAAGAGCTTATGGCCTAACAGAGGAACTAGACATAAATCAAACACACATATGCCAAATTTGCATGCACAACCACTCCATTAGAGGGGTTCAAGACTGCTACAACATGTCTCAGTACACAGACCCCCTTACTTCATTTTTCAAAGGTTTTCCTCTTAAGCGATATTAAGTGTTTCAGGACTGAAGATTGCTTTTTGTCCTTATTTCTCCAGGACGTAGCAGAGTAGGTGTTCAGAAACATTTGTTGGATACATTATGAGGTCAGAGACCCAACTTCACATGGCCTAGCCCATATTAGATACTTAAACTTTTGTAAACTAATTGAGTGAATAACAGAATATTTAGTTGACAAGGTGGTTCAACCATAACTACTTATCAAGTGCTGACCTTTGCAAAGAAAAATAAGAACAAGGTGTCATGTTGTTCATAAAGCTATAATGACTTCATTTTAAGAACTGAGAGATTTTAAGAGATCATGTGTTGACCTTCCCTGTGTAAATAAATATTGGCTTTTAAAAAAATATTCATATGGGGCCAAAAAAGTCAACGATTTAGCCCTAATATTTATTCATCTTGAACTAATCAAAAATTTGACAACAATTTTGGCAAAGCAAGTTAGGATTGCGGGTGATTTGGTGTCTGGTGAAGATCAAGGATTGGGCTTGATTTCTTCCCTTGAGAAAGTTGAGGATCTGTATGATTGGGAAGAGGAATGTTGGTTAATGAGTACAAACACTTAAAAAAAACCAATGAAAATAAATGCAAATAGAAGATACTCAATTATGTACAAATGTAGGAAAGGAAAAATATATTTTAGCCTTGTTTGGCACTTTTCTCTGTTCATCTACTGTGCCCAAATGCTTTGAGATAGTGGCATGTTAGAAAAGGTAGATGGAAGTGGTCAAGGGATGGAGGGAAGGTGGAGTGTGGAATGTGGAATGTCAGAGCATGGTAAGCAGAGATCATGGGACACGTGGAGTGGGAATAAGTAATATCAGTGCTTTGTAATTGGTTGTCCTTGTAAATTTAGGAAGCATTGAATGTGCCTGGACCAGAGGACTATCAAAAGTTATCAAAAATGGCACAGAGAAGGGATGACAAGTAGTCATTTGTTTTTTTCCTAGTTTAGCTGTGGGGTGTGGCAGTGAGGGCAAGACTGGGCAGGTAACTGAAGAAGATGATGACAAGGGGACATCAGGTTGATAGAAGTGATGGACAGCTGATTGGTTGCAAAAAGAGAAACAGGAGAAGGGAGGCAAGCAAGGTAGGAAGAAGTGATAGGAGATAGAATGTGACTCCCTTGTTATTTTAGCTCTGTATTAGCCATGTAAGCAAGAAGCATAAGAGATGGAGTGTGAAAAATTCCAGCAATGTTCAGACATCTGGATGAAGACAGTGCAGAGTGTTCCTCAAAGAAGGCAAGGGTGAGTACAGTGTAAAGTAACCTGCCCCCTCCTCAAACATGCTTTAGTGTCCTCTAAAGGCAGAGTTACGCAACCTGCTCCTTTATGCTTCTCCCAGAAGGGAACACCATAATCAAAGGTAAGGGTTAGAGAGAGCTTAGCTTTTCAAGGTGGACCTCAGAGAAACGAAGGAAAAACAATGAGAGAGAGAGGGGATTTGGAGAGGTCATGTTTAGAAGTTTGGTCATCACCTTAAAAGTGATGGGGTGGTCATTGAAGGTTTAGAGGTGGACAGTGCATTGTGAGGAAGGGATGGGAGGGTGGAAAAGCTGGAGGCTGAGAGTTTGAGGCAGGAAGAAGTGATGAAAGTGTGGAATAAAATGGTAAGTGGGGTAAAAAGTAGCTTCTGTGAGTTAATTTTATACTCATGACTTGAGTTCTGTAGTAGTCTTAACTGGGAAGTGAGTTCCTTCTCCCATATAAGCATCAAGGCACACACAGCTTGTGGGAGAGCCACAGGCAATATATGGAAGCATTTAAAAGTTATAAATCAAGTTATTTTCCTGCTTTGATGAAAGTAGTTACATAATCACAAGAATGAAAACCATGTATAAAGCTATGGTTTCATGTGACTGAAAGTTGGCAAAAATATTAAGTGTGTCTAAATTTAATTATCTTTGCTTATGCCTGCTTATGCACTGAGTGGGTGATGTTTCGATGGGCAATAAAATAATGATCTAATGATTCATAAATTATTATGTATTTGTTTTCCTTGTCCTTCAGTAAAATCATAAACTGTGTTATAAATAAGAATTTCACATAGTTATTCTGTTAACAATGATACCAAATGAGATATCTTTTTTGAGCCAGGATAGGTCTTTGATAGTTTTTTAAAAAATCATTTTCAATTTGAGAAAGCTTCGCTCTGCTGAGACTGAGTTGCGAACCTACCATGATATATATATATATATTTTGGGGTTTGGACTCAGGGCCTTATGATTGCTAGGAGGTACTCTGCCCCTTGAGCCACTCTAACAGACCTGTTTTGTGTTGGTATGTTTTAGAGATAGGGTCTCATGAACTATTTGCTGGGGCTGGCTATAAACTGCGGTCCTTCTGATCTCTGCCTCCTGAGTAGGTAGAATTACAGGTGTGAGCCACTGGCACCTGGCTCACATCATGACATTTATATACTATGCCAAAACATTGTAATGAGGCCACATATGCCAAATTACTATTAATGTAGAAAACAAAAATATTTTGAATTTATCATATAAACTACCTATGGCTTTACTATCATTTTTACCATCTCTGAAATCCATACAATAATGAAAAGAACCAGTATCAGACTTTTAGATACCACATAAACAAATGTAAAAGTAATATAAATTGTTTAATATTGCAAAATATTTCTGAGTCTCCATGTGCAACTGTCACGAACACCTCTGGAACTACAAATTGGAATAGGAAGAGAAGTGAGAAAATCGACACCCTACAATATGAGGCAACTATATGTTGTTATTCAAGAATTGATTCCTTCATGCTGAGAGGAAGGATCTGGCAAGTTAATGAACTTGTCTCTTTTCTTACCAAACCAAGCACTTCTGGTGCTCAAGTTCTCCTTGCACCCCAAAGCAGTGTCTATCTCTGGTAGAGGTAATGTCCAACCCATAAACACCACATAGCACCTGGAACAGTCATGTTTTGTTTTGTAGAAAAGGGGAGAAGCATCTTCCTGGATGTAAAGAGTGTTATTCCTGAATCATAAATTCACAGTCATAGGCTATCAGTTTTGAAGTGAGAGGTACTTAATGTGGGTTGTCACCTTCCTCCTTCATCTTCTCCTTCTCTTCCCTTATATCAGCTTTATAGAGATAGAATTCATAAACATAAAATTCACCCTTGCATTGTCACAAGTTGTACAACCATCACCACTAATTCTAGAATGTCACCATCCCTGAAAGATACTAATGTACCCATTAGCAATTAGCAGTCACTCTGTATGTTCTCTCCCATCCCTGGCACTGAGCAACTGGTAATCTGCATTGTATCTCTATGGAACTACCAATGTTTCAGTAATTTATTTCTTTTTATGATTAAATAATAGTCTTCTGTATGGATGCCATGTTTTCTTTATTCATCAGTTACTGGCCATTTGGGTTGTGTCCTTTTTTTTCCCTTATGAATAATGCTGTTATAAGGGTTTATGCATTTTTTTTTTTTGGTGGGGCTAGGGTTTGAACTCAGAGCTTCAGTGCTAGCAAAGCAGGTATTGTAACATTTGAGCCATATCTCTGGTCCATTTTGCTCTGGTTATTTTGGAGATGGAGGTCTCATGAACTACTTGCCTGGGCTGGCCTCAAACCTCAATCTCAGCCTCCCAATTAGCTAGGATTATAAGGTGAGACTCCAGAACCCAGGTAAAACTTTTTTTTTAGCGGGGGGGTGGGGGGTGGTTTGAACTGCAGTTTGAGGTCAGGACCTTGTGCTTGCTAGGCAGGCACTCTAGCACTGGAGCACTAGTTTGTGCGTAATTTTTTGTGGACATGTTTTGAATTTTCTTGGATGTATACCTTCTTATGTGTGGTACCTATATTTTCAGAAACTGCTAAACTATTTCACAAAATAGTTGCATAGTTTTGCAAGCCCACCAACAATACATGAGATTCTGATTTTCTCTACGTCCTTGTCAGCACCTCTAATTGTCGTTTTGATTACAACTGTTCTAGTGTGTGTGAAGCGGTATTTGATTTGCATCGCTCTAAAACCACTGATGTGAAGCATCTTTTTGTGTACTGTTTGTATATCTTCTTTGGAGAAATAGTTCAAATCTTTTGCACATTTTCTTTTAGAGCAGACTTTTACAGAACATTTTTCAGACTTACTGGAAAACAGAGACGATAGTTTTGAGTTTGCATATACCCATACCCAGTTTCCATGTTATTAACATTAACCATGGCTCATTTACGTTACATTTCATCTTAGCATGCTGCATCTGTTACAGTGAGTGAACCAACATTGACACATCTTTGTTAACCAAAGTCCATAGTTGAGGCCTGGTTTTCTCTTACCATATTTTGCCTTAGGGTCCCATCCAGGATACTGTATTACATTTAGTTATAGTCTTCATTGGCTCCTCTTAGCTGTGGTAGCTTCTCAGACTTTCCTTGTTTTTGATGACTTTGACCCTTCTGAAGAATAATGGTCAAAAATTTTAGCCAGGCATGGTGGTACATGCCTGTAATCCCAGCACTGGGGAGGCTGAGGCAGGAGGTTTGAGAATTTGAGACAAGTGTGGGCCTCTAGAAACAGAACAAAATCCTCATAGGGTGCCTTTCTATTTGAATTATTCTTGGTGTCATGGATCTTAGGGAGGAAGACCACAGAAGTGCTATCCTTATCAAATCATATTGGTTATAAATATTTTATATTATTTATCATTATAGTTAAGCAGATGTATTTTTTTAATGTTTTCTCTTAAAATTATGAGTGACAGCATTCTTTAGACTATGGCAATAAAACAAATGCAGTTAACTTAGTATTTAGAAGACTTGGAATGAAGACTTTGAATTTGACCTGAGGAATATGATTTCCAGGACTACATGCTACTTAAGAATAACTAGTGCATAAGGACAAAAAAAAATCGAACAGTCTCTATTTAGTCAGTTCTCTCTCTGCAGAGGCACCATGATACTGGGTGCTGCTGTGTCTGTCTCTGAACAGAAGACTGTCCTTTGTAAATATTCCTGAATCACTGATGGTGATATTCAATAGACAAGGGTGAAAGGGATTTAATTTGTTTTAGCTGTTCTTCTCATTAAACGCATCTAACAAAATGGTCTGCTTGGTCTATAAATGAAATATGATATCTGTTATATCCACAGAACCAGTGAACCACGTTTCCATTGGGCCATTTCCTTATTGCTTCCTCAGTAGCTCAGTTATTAGAACTTGTGAGAGTAAAATAATCTTGGAATAAGGGAAACAAGCTGACTCACAAAAAGTAAGATGGACACAGAGAAATCAAAGTAACAGAGGAAGGTTGGCAGGGACAAATTATTATTTCAGAGAAAAAATTGACATTGTACATTTGTAGATTGGGGCATTTTATGCACACTCAACTATCTTTTTTCATAGGGAATCATTCACAATAGTGTTACATGAACATATAAACCTAACATACTAAAAAAAATCAGTTGTATCAAGAGATAACTCACATACCACAGATTTCACTTATTTTAGTGGACAGCTAACATGCTACTACACAGAAATTGGTGCTATACGTAATATGGTTCTCTTGTAAAGTACAGGGGCCTCCTAGTGGTAGGTTTTAAATGTACTACAGAAGACATTATATATGAAATAATATTGCAGGAACTCAAATAATTATCTCTTAAAATGTCTAATCATTTAGATGTAGTTACTAGGTACATATTTTTAAAACGTTTGTGTGTATGTGGTGCTGGGAGTTGAATCCAGGCCTTGTGCATGCTACTTAAGTACTCAGTCACTGAACTACATCCCCTGCCAGTGGAAACTATATTTATGCACTATCCTTGTTTTAAGGAGGGCAGTTAAAGGTCTTTGTTCCTCCAGAAGTTTAAATGGGACTATAAAATCCCCATCTCCTGTGTTGTTGGCAGTTATTAATAAAATGAAAATGTGAGTCTTGAATTGAAGCATAGCTTCACAAGCTCTGCAGTACAACCAAGTATATAGTGGTATGTTTTCTGACTTTTGGTTATAAATGGAAGTCATTCTTATTATATTTTTCATTATTGGTGATTGTTAGAGTTTTAGCAGGTGATAATTAGTCATGCCCTTTTCCTTAATCTATGTTTAGAAACAAATGAGAAATAAGATGCAGGACCCAGACAGACAGAAAAAAAATCAGCTTTATTACTGATAAAATTGGTTGGAAAGCAGGGGCTGAGCTATGCAGCCCCAAGGGTTTTCTTGAATCATGATCAGGTCTGGTAGAAGTGTATATAATAGTGGTTGAGACAAGGGAGAGACTTTCTCACCTGAAAGTTCAGAGGTGTCGGATCAGGACCAGCAGCATTTCCTGTGATACCAGACACCCACACTCCTCTCGCTGTGTATGACCCTTGCCCAGGGTCATCTTGGAGTCTAGGATGGCTGGTCTCTCATGTGTACATTACAACTTAGAAGAAGAAATAGAAGAGCAAGATACTTAAGGATATACCATTCTTGCTTATATTCCATTAGTTAGAACATTATCACTTAACCATACCTAAGAAGGAAAGAAAGTATTCTGGGTAGTCACGTACCCAGGTAAAAATGGGAATTCTCCTTACAGGGAGGGGCAAGCTGCTTACCACAGAGACACTGACCTTCCTTGAGGGTAAGTGGTTTGCAGGAGGGGAACACAGAAGCAGGTGAGCCACACTTGCATGGGTCTTCTGAGTCCTGCCTACTGAGAGAAGCAGTGGGTGGGAATTTCCTTCCTAATTCATGTCTGGCTTTTCTAAGGGACAGTACAGAGAACTGTCATAGGGAAGGAAAGCAGTACATGATTTGGCACCACAGTAACAAGGTTTTCTTAGTTTCCCATTATCTAACCTTTCTTTGTCTTCAGTGTCCATTAGGTTAAGAAATCTTCCTGAATAGTCATAAGAGAGTTCCTCTCCTGGCAAAATGTCTTTGGCGGCAAAAAGTGCCAGCTTAGGAACCATGGAGTCAATTCGGACAGGAATCATCAGTAGGTTTGGCTCACAAGAGTGATTAAGGAATCTTCCAACATTTCCTACATAGGTAGGGTCAACAAATGTTTCCATTACCTGCCCATTATAAACATGCTCCCGGAGAGCTATGATGTAATTTGAGTCATATGTTGTTTGTAAGTTTATTCTTCTCTGTACTTCAGAGAATCCTAAAACCTCCCCAGCATATTCACAGACATATCGTCCTTTCGGTATAAATTCCAAGGTACGAAGTCCCCAGCCTTTTTTATCTGTCTGGAACACCTGGAGGTGGAACTGCAGACCTTTCTGAACAACTCTGTTTCTACAGTGGTCACTGCACTGGCATAGGACATTGCATTCGAAAACAGGCTTGGCATACTTTGCTTCTAATCCTGTATCTCTAAGGCACATGTTGTCATCATAGTTCTCATCATGGCGGACACAGGAACAAGTGCCAGGGAAGCAGGGAGTTTTGACACAGATGCATCCAGGAAAGGTTATTTGAGTGGGATCAATGTCTGCTCCAGGACCAAGAACGAGATCAGGAGTATACTGGAAAAAATATAAATACTTAAGTTAGCATGCCATGTCATGTGTTTTGTGTGCATGTGTGTGTGTGTGTGTATGTGTGTGTATACAGTGTATGTGCAGCCTGGAAACTTCCTAATTCTAACTTATATAACAACAGGACAAAATAAATTTGGCAAAGTACGGTGTACTGAAATATTACTCCAAAAGATCTATTTCCAATTAAAAAATACTAATTTTTCTATTTAGAATTTTGTGGTTTCATTTAAGAATAAAGGTAACAACAGGGAAAACATTTTTATTTATTATGAGAAATTGAAGGGTTTTTTTTTTTTTTTTGGTAGGACTGGGGTTTGAACTCAGGGCTTCACACTTGCAAAGCAGGCACTCTACTGCTTCAGTCACACCTCCAGTCCATTTTGCTGTGGTTATTTTGGAGATGGGGCCTCCAGAACTATTTGCCAGGGCTGGCCTCAATCTGCAATGCTCCCGACCTCAACCTCCAAAGCTCCCGACCTCAACCTCCAAAGTAGCTAGAATTACAGGATGAGTCATCAGCTTCTGGATGAAATAGAAATATTTGGAACTCATTTTGTTTCCCCCTTAGATGTGATGTCAGGAAAATCAGTGCTGAATTTAATATTTGTATATACTTCAGTGTTTTATCCTTAGTTTTTGGTATTTTTTACCTTTATCTGATAGTGTAATACATATATGTATTTTTATTGTGAGTTACTTCAGGGCCTTTCTGGGGATAAGAAAGGCATAAATGCTAAATAACTAAATTACAGCTATAACTCTAAAAGTGGTATTTGTTAAACAGATATTACTAGATACTTAGATGTATTATATACATGTAAGAAATTCTGTTCTTATTAAATGAAAAAGTGATAATATAAAGTATTTATTGGTCTTTTAAATGTACATGTATTTTCAAAACATTACACTTATAAAGTGTTAAGGAGAAAGAAGAAAACCCTGTCTAAAACCTCTATGTGAAACCAGGTATCTGTTTACTTCCTCACTGTCATCATGAGGCATCTCTCAGTCCCTGAAGATCAAAGTATCTCTCAGGAGCCAGCATATTTCTTTATGTATAATGTCTTGCTGCTCAGGATGGCCTCAAACCTGAGTCAATGTCTACAGTGCTGGGATTATAAGTATGTACCACCATGCCCAGCTGTATAGAATAATTTTTGCTTACGTGGAACTTAAAATGTTAAATTTTTCCCAACCTTTGTCCAAAAAGAGGTGAGATAAATCAATAGGTCAGAAGAGTGTGTTATCATTTAGATAAATGTCCCCCAAAGGCCCATTTTTTTTTTTTTGGTTCTGGAGTTTGAACTCAGGGCCTTACTTCTCATACTGGCTAGGTAAGTGCCACTTCAGCTGTGCCCCTAGCCCTAATGCCCATATTTTAAAGGCTTGTTTCCCAGCCTACGGCACTGTTGAGAGGTGGTGGAACATTTAAGAGGTGGGGCCTAGTGGGAGGAAGTCTGGTCATTGAAAGCATGGCCTCAAAGGGGACACTGGGCCCCTTCTCCTGTCTCTTTTTCCCTCTCAGCTGCCATGGGCTGAGCAGCTTCTCCTTTACATGCTTCTGCCATGATGTTCTGCCTTAGCACAGGCCCAAAAGTAATGGAGCCAACCAATGGTGGATCAAAACCTCCAAAACCTAAGCCAAAATAAACCTTTCCACTTTTTGAGTTAATTACCTCAAGTATTTTGTTACAATAACACAAATCTGACTAACTCAGTTGAAAGAGGAAATAAGAGCATACCTGTGCAGTAAGCTTAGATATACAAAGTGGGCAACAGAAGCAGACTGGACATTTGACTCCTTCAAAAAGGGGTGTATGATTAGATGAAAGGCGTGTGTTGTCTGTAAGTAATAGTCTATTCAGAAGCAGGACTGACTATTTCCAGTATTGAGACCAGACAGAGATTTCATCAATGTGTCCTTCCAAACAATTCTTTTTAGGAAGCAGTTTCCAGGGTTGACTATTCTGACCCTCAATGAAGGCTGCTGCATGCTGCCCCAGCATAGCTGGGTAACAGCAGTTCTGCCTTGGCCTTTCTTTTAGGGACAGATTTTAGGGTACCTGGAGGAATGTTCACCCGCACATCTCTCAGTCAATCCTCCATTAATGTGTCTCCGTGCCTGGCTTCAGAAAGGCACTGAATAGCTCCATACTCCCTGTGGAGCCTCTGTGGAGCTAGGCAGTTAAGTGCAGAACCCTATACTTTAAAAAAATGCTGAGCTGGGGGAGGACTGACATCTCTGGTGAAAGATGAGGAGGGTGATGAGTGGGAGCACCTGTGAGGACAGACCAACATTCTACTTGGAGATTTGGGGGTGGAGAGAAAAAGCTTCTGTGTTGTTTCTTGCAGCTTTAGCTCAGCAGGGATGTCCTACAGGGATAATGGAAAGCTCAGAACAAGATGCTTCTGTCTATCAAATCTAATCAGTGCTGAATCTACTTCCAGCTTTTTGAAGACTTAATGTTGAAATGCAAATGGTTACCCGAACATTTTAAGAAGTACTTTTAAAATGTAGAGTTTACTATCTCCTTGTGAAACATTTTGTAAGGAATGCTTTTAGACTGATTTTTTTTCTTGAAGGTGTACATATTTTTAATGCAGTACATGAGTCATGAAAGTGATTTTTTTCTACACAGATAACTACTTTTAAAATCAAGTCTGACTTACTGCAGTTTTCAAGAAAGAATATGATTTCTTGCTGAAAAATAGTTTTGTTTACTTTTATGTATAAGTTAAAAAACAGGATTTTTGAGATTTAAAATCTTTTTTGAAAAGATATTTTTAAAAACATTTTATTTTAAAAGATTACAAAGTGATACAAATTTTTAAGGGCTGGAGATACAGTCAATGGTAGAGTGATTGCCTAGCATGTTCAGGGACCTGCTTTAATCCCTAGTATTGCCCCCCTCCAAAAAAAGTGATATATTAAAAAATTCTGCAATTAAACTTGAGATGGACAATCTACTCTCCTTTAGAAATTTATGTTACAAATGGTAGCTAATGCCACATGAGCTGCAAATATCTATGAAAGGACAATACAGACTTGTAGGTAAATTTCTTGTTAAACAAGAATAATTTTTTGATGGATGTAATCATTGACCCTGCTACCAGTGATCACACCAAATCATTTTATCTTAGTGTGCTTCCATTTTCCCCTCTAGAAAAGGTCGGTGAAATGCCATGCAAGAAAAATATTTTATCTGATTTTAAAAATGTTCTCCAAAATAACCTTTTGAACACCTTATCTAGTTTAGCATGATTATGCAATTATCCATCTTCTGATATTTAACTATACATCAAAAATCTATTCTTTTTAGAAATAATCTGTGGCCATTGACCTGACAGTCTATTAAGATATTTATATTCTAGGTAAAGTGTTAAACTTTGAGTATGTGAAAGCTAGTAGAAAGTGTGTTACAAATTGGGAGGCAGCTGACCTGATCTTAAATTTAAATACATCCAATTTGTAACACTTCTGTACCATGCTTCCTGTTACAACATTGTGGATCAAACTGATCCAAAAAGGTTGTTACCCTGGAGACTGTTTGGGCCTACCATTAGCCAAGGAGAAATCAAAGCTTGGGTATGTAGTCATAGCTGACATATGTTCCAGCATCCATTCCTTTAATTTTGATAAAAGCACCCCAGCTTTTCTTAAGAGAACCCCTCTTCAGACATGTCTTAGTGGGCAGAGATCTAGGCCTGGCTGAACATCACTAGCTCTGTTCATTGGTGTTTGTTTGTGGATGAACACATGATCTATGCAGAACAATGAAACACAATTCTGGGACTTCTGCTGAAACAATTAGAAAAGCAGCATTCTCTCTCCACTGAGTTGCTAATGTGTAGACTGTTCACCTGACAGTTTCAAGTTTATAGATAAGACCAACTGAATGTGTAGCCAATCACAGGAAGAGGAGTAGGAGTACAAAGGGAAATGTGGTGGCAGGAAATATCTGATGACACTGTTAAGAGTTCTTGGATCTAGGCACGCCTACAGTGTTGGACTGTTCTGTTATGTAAGGCAACCCCTTCCCTCTTTTGCTTGAACCAGTTTGTTATGTTTATGTTTCTTGTAAACAAATGAGTCCTGACTGATATAATAGGGTGAAAGCTGAGAACAGTTCTAGGAAGTGACTGGAAAACTTAGTCAAAGATGTAAATGGTCAAAGAGCAATGAGTCTTCTAAGTGGGAGGCGAGACTGGAGCAAAGTGTGCAGGAGGCCAGAGAGAAAAACTGGTGACCTTGGCCAGGAACACTTGGTCAAGCAGTGGAGGCTTCTCAGTGTAGAGCATGGATTGTTCCAAGGAGGGAGAGACTACAGAGCTAGGCTCTAATTAGCACTGTGACTTTAGGCAAGTGACTTTCTAAGCTTTAGGCTGACAACTGTAAGACAGGGGTAATACTCATACTTGTGGCTGTTTTGAACTTTAAATGAAATAACACTGTACTGAGTACCTGATACCTGATCCTTTTCAAATACGACTTCCCTTAATTCTTCTAGATACTAATTTTAGGTACTATATTTATAACATCCTGTATCTGGCAAATTACTTATTCCCGCTAAACATTTCCTCTATCATTAATCTCATTCATAGGTTGCTGTAAAGGAAAAAAATGAGAGAATCTACATAAAAAAGTTTACTTTCATGGCACACATAAGTGTGCAAAAAAATCTATGTAGGAAAGTGTGGTGAACAAAACAGTTTCTGGAGTTAAACTTCCCAGCTCCCTAGCTGAGCCAGCCCAGACTTCTTTCATTTATCAACAAACCACCTGTTTTATGCATGTGCTAGAATTTGGAACCAGCCAGAAAAACATAAAGGTGGATATTCTTCCTATATACTAAAGCACAGCATTTCTCATGCAAGAGTTTTGAAATAATACAAAACGATGCCCTAGAAACCACATCCTTAAAGCAAAGGGTGGAGATTTCAACATCTTATTTATTTATTTTTTTGACAGAGAACTTAAAAGAAAAGTGTTTTTTTTTTTATAAACAATAATTGCCCAAAAAGACAAAGTGGAAACAGGAGACAGAATGTGGAAGAGCAAATATGCCTTCCTTTGCTACTCTTGTCTGCAATAATTCTTCTGAATTAGACCAGCACTTATTGTTAACAGCATGAATTTTGAGATCTGGACATCACAGACTGTAGGGCTAACTGTGTTAAATGAGTAGGTCCTATCTTTTAACAATACGTATCTCAAGGAAAGGTAGTGTCATAAGGTTTGGAAAGTGGTGTAGAGACAAGGATTTGGATCTCATCTACAGTCCTACGCATACAGCAGGCACTCAGGATTACAGCTTTTGATAACTTTCAACTGGAAGTCTGAGTTGTTCAAGTGACAGTCTGCATCTAAGCCCCAGAAACAGAAGTTTGACATCATGTAATGTTGTGGGCTTCAAACCTGGGCTTCAATTCTAAATCTCAAAGAAGTGTGCTCTTTCCTTTTTTGGTTGTGTTGAAGCCCCAGCTACAAGAATCTTTGTACTTGGCCTCTAGCCTCATGAGTTTGTTTTTGCTCCAAGCAGTTATTAGGGAACTGTGAGCCAGATAATTCTCTTCAAGGCCCAGTTGAGATCTTAAAAATAATGTTTGAAGCTGGTTTCAAAAACCTGAGAAATGATTAGCTCTGACTCCTAGCTCAAGAAATCAGCTTATTTTCTACTTGGCTTTTAATACTGATGACATTTTGATGTGCTCATTTCCAGTTTGAGCATTTGAAAGTTCTTTTTTGCCTTTTTACATGGTACAGGAAAGCAAACCAGACACAAAGTTATTTTTACCATGAGTTTTTCATGCTTTAATTCTTACGTGTGCCTATGACTGGGAAGGAAGGGTTTGTAGCAAGCAAGCAAGCAAGCAAGCTGTTTTGACCTTTTGTAAGAGTGGGTTTGTGTTCCCTGAAGACAAGGAAGAAAATTATTTGAAGGTGGCTGGAAGTATAGCTCAGCACACGCAAGGGCCTGGCTTCCATCCCCAACATCAGGGGCAGAAGAGTTTAAGGCCCTAAGGCTTGTCTTTCAAATCAAGCATGTTTTATCTTCTTGGTAATGCTGTAAACTCTTTGAAAACGGATCCTTCCTCCCCACTGCTCTCGCTCTCTCTGTCTCTCTAACGCTAACTCTAGCCAGAGCCGTGCCCATACACAGGTAGCTAGTACATTGTGGGATTGTGTTTCACTCTCCTGATTTTCACTTATGCCATCAACTGTAGGCCTAATGATCACTTACAAGTCTTCCTTTTCTCTCCTTCCTCCCTCTTTTAAAAACAGACAAGCACTTATTTAATTTGAAAACTATAATTAGCATGTCAAGCCACATGATTTTATGAACATTAATGATTAAGATGAGTCTAAAGAAGATACATAAAATTAACTAATTCTTAAATGAGTTAATTTCATATGTAAAGTAAGGTTAGTTAATTTAAAAAATATGCTTGGCCAATAGTTTTGCAGATTGTTCTCAGAGATGGTAAAGAGAAATATGACTCAAGATTTGAAATAGATTTACAGAATTCACTCATATACAAAACAATAGTTTTGTTCAATAGCACAAATACTTAGTTAAATTAATTAAGAGCGCACTCAGTTGTTAACGCTTTGTGGGCAGGGAGTATACAATTCTGCGCATTAGAGTCTCTGTAGCTCAATTTACCACTACGTACATTTAGTTCTCCATAAATATTTGTTGAATTTAAGAATGGACTAGAACAGTGGTATTTTCTTTCAGATTAGATGTGTCTAAGTTAAAAAGAAAAGGCAACCAAGTACTTTCTATGCCCTCTTGTAAGTGCAAGGACAGGAACTGTGTGAATCACCATCTTATCTTCTAGGCCTAGCCTAACACAGTGCCTGGCACATCATTGGCACTCAATTAGTTTTTGAACAAAGAGACACTTAGGAATGTTTTGACCAGGCATTCAGCAGTGTTTGCTCTTGAATAAGCTTTCAGGGACCAGTGTTTCATACCATGCTAGTCACTGGTATCATTAGCCATAAACTGATAATGCAAATACAAACCACTGTTAGCCATAAACCATGGTTTGAGAGAACAGTGACCATTTTTCACATCAATATCTTCCTCTTCTCTGAAAAGTGCTACTGAATTTATCATCTCATTTGATCCTCAACAAAAATCTTTGGAAGTGGGAAGGGCAGACCTAGTTTAATACTGATGATAGATGGGAAAAGGGCTATACATTTTAATATTATTTTCTTAAAAAAATTTTTTTTTCTTTATTATTTTCATTTTGAAAATGAAGAAAGTCAGTGTTTGTGGAATGGCTAGGATGGCTACACCCTGAACCTAGCTCTCCAACACCAAAGTGCAGTGCTCTTTCTATTTCAACATCCTTTGGTCTGCTTTTTATCATCTGTCATTCCTAATTCCTTAGGCAACTTTTTTTTTTTTTTTTTTGGTACTGGGGTTTGAACTCAGGGCCTTCACCTTGAGCCACTCCACCAGCCCTATTTTCGTGAAGGATTTTTCGAGATAGGGTCTCCCAAACTATTTGCCTGGGTTGGCTTCAAACTGAAAGCCTCTCAGTCTCTGCCTCCTGAGGAGCCAGGATTACAGGCGTGAGCACTGGCACTGGCTCTTAGGCAACTTTTAGGCCAAGGTCAGAGGAGTGAGAAAGTTAGAGAAAGGGCCTTGAGATAGTCGTGAATATTTATTTATTGAATTCTTATGGCCAACTAGGAATTGTATTTTACTTGTAATTCTCAAAGCAATTGGGAAGAGAAGTATTATTTACACTGCACACGGAAAGAGTCTAATAGGGCTTTGCAGAAGCTAATTTGTAGTCTCACAGCATGAGGGGGACCCCAGCCAAGTCTGACTCCAGGGACAGTTTTTAAATGTGACACCAGGCTGAGATCCATAAATAGGCCTCACGCCTTATCCTACATATGAGACACCTGCGATCAGAGAAGTAACTGATTTGCACTCGATCCCTCACGGAGCTCTTGACCTGGACTAAAGCCTGGTCCTCAGGGCTCTTTCCAACACACCTCAAGAAAGAAGCCTCTGATTTTTTCATTTCAGGGAAATGCCAATCTACGGACAGAAGAGGGTAAATCCTTAGTATAATTTTACAACAGGTAAACAGAAAAAGACCGAAGCCTGTGCATTTAAGAACTTTGCTCCACGCGCCATTGGATTTAAAAAAGTCCGGAAGACCACCTGCAGGTTCAGACACAGTTTGAGAAATACCACCACCAGGGGGAGCTGCGCGCCTGCCTCTTGCACCCGTTTAGCTCCACCCCTGGGAGCTGCACGCGGCTCTCTAGGCCACCTAGCCCCGCCCCTACCTGGAAGGGCGCCGGCCACGCCCCCCGGGGCCACACGCTCACAGGCAAGTTCTCCAGGCCGCGCGCTACATCCAGCTGCCCTTTGTGTGCTTCAGGCTCCTCCTCAGGCGCTGTGACCCCGACAGGCCGCTTCTTCTTCACAGCTTCCGCGGACATTTACCCGCCACTCTCTGCTTACTATCCGGACAGGCTTGGGTTTCGCGGAGGATGCTGGGAGTTGTGACTCTTGTGGCCTCACTGCCTCATGGGAGTTGTAGTCTTTTTCTCTGCCTCACAAGAGGCTTTGAGGGCGTCACCTCCCTCAGTTTAAATTTTTTAACATTAAAAAAAAAGTTTTTTTTTTGGTCTTGGTTCCCCCTATTTTGAGCCAAATGCACAGCAGATAATTACAAAACCATGCAAGGTATGCCACAGTTTTGGGAAAGCGAAATGTTTAACTTTTTCCTGGGGCACTGTGGAGGGGGCTCTCGGGGCGCGGTCACCTGTGCAGGGTTTTGGGGCTGGTGGAGGGAGCGGGAGGCCGAGGTGGGCGCTGCGCACCCCGGTTCCTAAAGGCCTGGAGCCGCGGGGAGGCGGTTACTCAGGCTGGGGTTGTGCTGGGGGGTCCGGTAGGTTTCTGGGGCACCACGAGGGATGTGCGCTGAGTCCGGCCGTCCGTGTTGGGAATGTCCGTTCCCTGTCCCTGCGGCCGGCCTCCTCTGCCCCGGTCCCGCGCCCCTCAGAGTGCCAGGCCGGGCGAGGGGCGCACGTGCCGTGAGCCCAGCACCTGGGAGGCGGAGGCAGCAGGATCGCGAGTTTGAGACCAGCCTGGGCAACCAAGGAGCCCCTGTCTCAAAAGTAAATAGATAAATAAATAAATTATTACGAGTTCGAGTTCGGCCTGGGCAACAAAGCAAGACCTTGTCTCGAAAACAAACAAGAATATATGAAAAATAAAAGCGGGTGGTGGTGGTGCCGGTGGTGACTTACATACAGTTTCCTGCTTATCATATTATTGAGAAGGTTTTAGGACGGTGCCACGCCTTCAGAAGTGAGAAAAGTGGCTTCTAGCCTGGGAGATCAGGGAAAGCTTCGTGGAGAAGAGGAAATCTGTCACAGGCGTTGACGGCCGGATGGGATTTGGGACAACTAAGAAAGGGCATTGCAGGCAAAAGGAGCAGCAGGAGCAGAAAAAGAGTAAGGAGTAAAGTGCGTAAAGGAGTGAGCAATCCCTTTAAAAATCTTGAGACAGGATCTTGCCAAGTTGCCCAGGCAGGCCTGCCTCCAAGCGGATTGGCTGAAGATAAGGTTCATTTCACTTTTTAAAAAAAGGAATTATGAATAATAAGGGAATTTTGTGGATATTCAAAGAATGAGCTGTTTTTTCAAATTAGGAAATATTTAAAAAAAATTGTATGCACTCACACATGAACACACAGTGCCTTAGGAGAGTCTGCAATCTTACAAATAACTATATACATATAAAAAGAGCTGTCAGAATGCTATATAGAATTATAGTAACTATGAGGAGAACTACATTCCTATATTTACAGACTGTTAACGCTGTTTATATTTTGACTCCGTGGTAGTGCTGTCTACCCTTTAGAAAAATATTTTAAAGGAGCCATTTTATTTTCTGTGAAGCTGTCAGTGATGGTGCTTCCAGAATAAGATATTCAGTTCATGTTGGCCCTTCAGTTTAATTCGTTTTTACCTTGCTGGCAAAGGATCCAAAAGTACTTTATAGTGTGTGGGATTAAAATAATGAGAGATTTTGCATGCTGTTATAGCTAGTCTTCAGAATGCCAAGCAGTCAGTCTTTCATCTTTTCCAGGTCTCAAAACCTATCTTATTTTCTCTAGTCACCTGCTCTTCACTGGCCAGGAGCCTTGCTCTTCAGAATTTGTTCTAAAAACCTTTATAACTAGGTGTTGAAAAACATGTATCCGTCCTCATTAATGAGTTGCCCAAGTTGGTTGCTTTAAATAGGACTTGGATCAAGGGCAAACACAACAAGGGGATTGGACTTTGAGCACATGATAAAAGCGAGAGCACACAAGGGAGGGGTGAGGATAGGTAAGACACCTAAAAAATTAGCTAGCATTTGTTGCCCTTAACGCAGAGAAACTAAAGCAGATACCTTAAAAGCAACTGAGGCCAATAGGAAAAGGGGAACAGGTACTAGAGAAAGGGTTAGTTCAAGAAGAATTAACCTAGAAGGTAACACCCACGCACAGGAAATCAATGTGAGTCAATGTCCTGTATAGCTATCCTTATCTCAACCAGCAAAACCCTTGTTCTTTCCTATTATGGCTTATACTCTGTCTTCAACAAAATTAGAGATAAGGGCAAAATAGTTTCTGCTGGGTATTGAGGGGGTGGGGGGGGGAGAGGGAGGGGACGGAGTGGGTGGTAAGGGAAGGGGAGGGGGCAGGGGGAAGAAATGACCCAAGCATTGTATACACATATGAATAATAAAACAATTAAAAAAAAAAAAGAGAGGTAGTGAAAAGCCCTCATTTTTGGTATCTCTGTAAGCATATTAATTATGTGATTTGTGGAAATCAAAAAAAAAATAGGACTTGGACATGAATATTACATTGGTTATTCAAATTTCTTTTGGCTTTTCACTGGCAGAAGAGAAACTAATCTAATCAGCACAAAGAAATAAATAAAAAGAAAATAATGCAGTACAGTAAAAGTAATACTCTATAGGTTGAATTATCTTCGGCTCAATTATGGGATATGCTACATAGTCCGCCTCTTTGTTTCATTTATTTATTTTAACAAAATGGCCTTTAATTGGGATGTTTTGGTCATGCCTTTTAAACTTTTTCCCTGATTATTATTGTTTTATTATTGTTGTACTGGGGGCACAGCGTGACATTTACAAAGGTTCTTATATCATACTTGAATTCACCCCTCCATCTTTCTCCTTTATCCTCCCTGCCCCATTCCTGGAACAGTTTCAACAGTCTCATTTACATGCATGCGTTCGTAGTGTTACCACCACGCTCACCTTGCTGTGTCCTTTCCTCATGTCTTCCCCACTTCATGCCTGTTTTAAAATGAAAGGTGCATGGCTTCATATTCAGAAGTCAAATCATTCTTTCAAAGTCTCACTCGTCTTACCTGAGCTTCATCTTCTGGGATGTACTCTATGGCCAGTGATGAAAGGTCTGAAGTCAGCAGACATTATGTGTTAGTTATATATGTTAGCATGAATAATGCAGTTTGGAATATCTTAGCTTTCCAATATGAACTATCACTACTAGATATTGAATAGGCAGAATATAGGCACCTGAGCCTCTGATCAGATAAAATTGGGTAAATGAAGTCATTTGAACAAAACAAAGCATAATAGATGATACTTGGAGGATCCTCTACCCCATCTCATGGAGATGGGCTCCCTGGCAGTCATATATATGTTACAATGTTAACTTTTAAGCCCTGGTCCATGGTTTGGCCTCTAGGAGAACACTTGTTTCAACATAGGCCTATTGAATTTTCTTGATAAGGAATTGAGACCAAATAATAGCTAAAATTATATAATTTGGGAGCTGAGAGATAGCTGTATTTTGGCATATGGAGGAGAAGATCTTCCAAAAGAAAAATCAAACAGATGGGTAAAAGGGAGAGAGAATTTTTTAGTTATTGATAGCTGTTTGTTTGTTCCTGTCCCTTTTTGGGGACAACCTGCATTCTTATAACAAATTCTTCCCTTAGGTTTAAATCAGTGGTTTCTGTTACTTTATTAAAATTATTTTGACTATTAAGTACTGTACATTTGTAACATTTTATCATTCTTATTAGAAAGCATGGACTAGATAAATAACTTTTATACTCTCTACAGACGTTAGTTGATATCTGTGAATTTTTGTTCATAATAATGTCTTTTTCTTAACCACTTGACCTTTCTGATGTGTTTCATTGAAGAATATACCCCCTAAACAATATGGAAATTTACGAGAACAAAAAGTAGCAAGAATTATGAGTTGTCTGTCCAGTGGAAGGATAATATAGTAATAATAGTTAATAGTTATATTGTACATAATTGGTGTAGAATATAAAATTGCAATTTTTTACAAAAGTTTCATACAAAAATTCACTATTCTTGAAAAATAGCAAAAGTGGAAAGAAGAAACATGTTTTTTGGAATTTTATGTCAAAGTGTATGGCATATGGATCATTTTACAATTTTACATTTAGCAAGTGATTAAAATAACTTGAGAGTTGTATCTTGCAAAATTATGATCCTGTGTTACTTATGCTTTCCAAAAGATTATTGTTTATGTTTCTGTGTTTCTGCTGCTAGGAAATGTTTTCAGTGGAATAAAAACTTGCATATTATCATTGTTTTTATCATTGTATTATGGTTTTATGAAATCCATAATTTCTCTTGTTGGTATGATAGCAAAAACATAAAGATAAAATCATAGAATATTGTTAGTGTAAGTATTTTAGAAGCAATATCCAGGGTTGATTATTACAGAATGTCTCATTAATGCGATGCTGTCAAATGAGTATTGTTTGATAACAGGTGAATAGGTAATGAAGTTTCATCAGCAAGTAATAATTTCACTCATGAGAAACATGTAAACAAATTTATTATCTGTTATGTTCAAGTACCAAGGCTATATAACACTGGGCTTGCTGTATTTTCTTTCAACTTGACCTTGGAAAGCATGGCTTGGAATTATGTTCACACATTTTCATTTTGTGTTCTAGGTAAGCTTTCGTACTACCCCAAAGGCTCTATCAATAGGACTTTAAAATTTTTCTTGGAGTGGCTCAGTGGTAGAGTGCCTCCCTAGCAAATGTGAGGCCCTGAGTTCAAACCCCAGGACTGCCAAACCACCCCCCCAAAAAAACCCAAAAAAACCAAACCAAAAACCAAAGCATAAAAATTTTTCTAATTGGATCATCCTCTCATCTGTAATAATGCACACAGTCAGTCTCTTCTACATGTAGTTTTGAATGCAAAGATGTGTAGTTTTTGGAGTCTGGAATCTTTTTTTTTTTTTAAAGTTCATTCTTGTTACAGATAAATCTCCCCAAAAATCTAAATCTAGATCTACAAGAACCTGTAATTTTAACAGATACCTCCAAGCATCATTTGAGAGTTGAATCCTTCTTGTAATTCAAGATTCCTGTAACTTTCTAGATTCCTGCCAGCATTTTCAGTCTGAGAGTTTTCCAGATCACTTCTGGCATTTGGAAGTATAACTAAAGACAATGGGTTTACCCTTTGATGAGTGCAAAGGTGATAAACACAATGAGAAGATAAAAGAGTGAAGTAATGTTTATTACTTGCAGCAAGAGAATTCCCAAAGTAGTGTCTCCTCAAACACAGGAACCAAGGGGATTTCATTTGGGAAACTAAAGCACATTCATACTGGAAAGAGTCATCATCACGTAGAAGTGCCGTGTATTTAAGCATGCTTAGTTCAAGATTTTGCTTCTTCACGTATCCCATGTTAAAAAATGTCAGATGGGAATGCCTCCTGGGCAGAGAATTTTACCCGA